ATTATATGTATATATATAATACATATGTAATATATATATTTATATATCAGTTTTTGAATTTTATTTCTCTACTAAAAGATAGAATTCTGACTTCTCTTCAGGATATTTACCGCAAAAATCTGCATATGATAACGTTTTTCCTTGCTAGAACTATAGTATGCATTCAGTGCACTTTAAAGCCATTGTACAGAAATTGATATAAAGATGTATGTTTAATAAAAATACAGAAACGAGTTAAACCGCGAAATTCTCAATACATTTTATTATACTATATAATGAATAGAATACACTTTAGGCATTTTATCAATTGAGAGATATCTCATTTTTACATTCAGGTTACAGCAGAATACAATTTTTTTTCATGGCATTTTTTTTGGCTTTAATGTGCAATGCATTCTGCCAATGAGAAATTTGCTATGTTTTATTAGTATCAAGAAAAAAGTAACGAAAAAGTAACGACTCGTTACATTTTAACTGACGGTAACGGTAACGAATTACTTTTGCTAATCAATAACGAGTAACGATAACGAGTTAACTTTTTAGGAAAAAAGGAACGGTATGACGAATTGTTTTTATGAGATAACGTTGCCAACTCTGTGATAAATATATTGAAGTCATTTTGCGCACACTTTGGTTTGCAGCGAATAGGCGTGGGGAAACGAAAGCTTTTACTTCCGGTTGTTTCCGGAGCAACGCGAGAGACAGCGAAAGGTGCCGATTTTACTGCCGCGAACGGATGCGGATAAATAGAAAAAAAATAAAGATATATACATAGGGCAGTATTGTATCACGTGATAATAAAAGCTAGAAAATATCGATATTTGAAAACTCGGGAGCGAATATCGGTATTATTTTAGGCTCTGAAGATCTTTTTTCGATGGGGCAAATTTTGATACGTTACGGCGTAAAATGGTCGCCGATATATCGATTCGCAAAGGATGGCTCGAAACCGGAAATGATCCTCGACTTCGACGAGTTTCACTATAGAATGAATTTCAAGACAGTTTTTTTTTTTTTACGAGCACGGTATAGAAAATGCGAGGTGCTTTTCAGTTATACGAGCGCGTTCCCTTTCAATGTTACGATACGACACGCATATCCGTTATTATCGGATGATAGTAATTTACGAGAACGTAAAAGGATATTCAGCTATGAACCGCGGAGTATACGTACCTATTACCGTTTCGATGTTTTCCCCGAGAAACAAAGACCGTTTCCGCTCTCGATCTACACGCGAGCTCGTTATCGCGGCAAGCACTATATATACGACGACAATTGTCGCAATCTAGCTTTGCTGTAACACGGTAAAGGGCATCAATTCTGCGAGGGATTAATGCCCGTTTTCACCACTGTGGATTAACTTTAATCTCATGTCAGTTCAACTTGCTCTTCTTCTAATTCTTAAGAGCGGCCTTTTTACTTTCTTAACTTGTGGTTTAGACTTAATCTCTTGATGATAGTATAAGAATTGTGTATTATGTGATCAATTTCTTACGGCTTAAGACTTAAAGCTTAGGTAATAGTTTATTGTAGAAACCCTGTTAAAGTCATCCACTACAAAACCATCAGTTTAACGATTAATCATAGCTAGAAAAACAAAATTTTTGTCGAAGCTGATGTCGTTTATGACGCGACGATCGTGCATATCGTTATCTGAAGCGAAAGAGATGAGAAATCTCTCAGAAAGTTAGTTTCAGGAGGATATATATCACATACAGCTCGAACGGAATTAATCAGACGCGCTCCTGCGAGCAGATTAATCGCGTCGCGATCGATTCCGATCTTCTGGGAAACTCGTTACAGGCGAATGTGACTGACATTCCCGTGACATTTCGTGAATTTCATTAAAGCTGGCGCTTACGTTTACGTAACTGGTCGTGACGCACTTTAGACGATTCAATGCGTCGCTGTGTGCAAATTGCTGTCCACCGACGGTGCCTGACGCTGCGAATTATACCTTCCATTCGTCAAAACGTCAAACGTCGGAATATTTCAATAACTAGTTTGGCTTTGCACGGTTTACGCGTCGAGGATCAAAGGGAATACTTTTCCTTTTGCACTCATCGACTGAATTCCGTTAAATATTCGCAAAATCCTGTGTAGTGCTACTATTAACTTCGCGCGACTGTTCACGGTGACAATGCAATTTTACACGCGAAAAATTTCCAATCTTGCTCCCATTAGCGATCTCTTCTGATTCCGCGTTGCACGTTGTATAAACGCGTGCTCCGTTACACAACAAATATAACGAGGTTAAATATTATTTCAACAATATTTTGATTGCACGTCCAAGGTGCATGGATTGTACCAAGCGTGATATTTTAAAGCGTTTCGAAAAATTTTTCGCTCTTGTTACCGTAACAGAGTATCTCTCTATTCTGACTTTTAACAGCGGAAATATTAGCAATAATTGTAATGGAAAATTATTTTGAAAATTTGCACCAATTTAGGTGAGTGCGTTCCATGATTCATCATTCAACCGGGCGACTCCGCGGAAATTTCGCCGTGTCCTCTCGACCGTGTTGGCGCAGTGCTACGTTTCCGCTAAAGTAAGGGCTCTTCGAAAGAGCCGGATTGCATTTGCACGATTCGAACAGCGACCCGTACTTTCACTCGATCGCCTGTACCCCGTCGGCACGGCGAGCCCTCGCCGCCGTAAACGCGAAGAGGAGAACGTCAGGGACGCGGAGCGGGGCGCGACGCGAGAAGGGAGGAGAGACTCCGAGCAGAAGGAGAAACGCGAGAAGAGGAAGCGCACACGTACGCACGTACGTGTATATATACGAAGAAACGAACGAAACGAAGCGAGTGGGCGCTCGCGAGTCCGGGGAGAGGTTTAGTGACCTCGGCGTATCGTCGTTGTCTTAAAGAGAAGCAGGAGTAGGACGACCACGACGACGACGACGACGACGACGAGCACGAGCACGAGCACGAGCGCAAGCACGACGACGCCGAGGCGCAACGAGACGACGAGGAGTGGCCGAGAAGAAGAAGAGCAAATTGGTGCTCCCGGTAGCAGGGGCCCATGAACACCGTGGAGGAAACATTGCGCAACGTGTCGAGGCGCAGCAGACACGACAAGCGCGGCAGCGGCAGCTCAACCGGCGCTGATTGGTCCGCGCCGGCCGTACGGGGCCCGGCCCAGCCGACCCCCGTTGCTGCGCCGGCCGCCACGTCCACCGCCTTCGCCAGGCCCCAAGATATCACGGGCCCGACCAGGCGCCAGTCATCACGCGATAGCGTCGACTCCGCCGGCCAGCACACCCCACCTGATCACGCGGACCTTCTCTTCAAGGTCCTACCTTGCTTCCTGATACCTGTTTTCTTATTATACACTCGCTCATCTTATGACGACGCGCTGGCGTTTCTCTTATTTCTTTCTCGCTTGCCAAGCGTGACCGATTCTTCGGACGTAATCGCTTCTTACTTCCCGCGTGAAATGCAATTTTATTTATTTATTTTTATTTTTGTTCTATTTATTATTTTAATTCAATTAATTATATTAAATTTTCTTCTCTCTCTCTCTCTCTCTCTCTCTCTCTCTCTCTCTCTCTCTCTCTCTCTCTCTCTGGACACTGTGGCAACTGTTTAATGGATGATTAACTATTGGTGAATTCGGTCACTCGCACTACTGAATTAATACACATTAAAGGCTATTTTATATAAATTATCTAAATGCACGTAATGTAATCAACTTTGACAATGAAATTATACATGTTTACTCCGTTAAATAATGTGCATCAGTATTATTATCAGATGTTTAATTGTTTAATATATTTATGTGCTTTTATATTTAACTTTGTTAACTTCTTTATGTATAGTAGCTTTTAGTATGTAAGTATGTGCACTAATTTGTAATGCAAGCAACTGAATTCACTATGTAGATATATATTATCTGTTTTTATATCTTCTATAAAATATTAGTTTAACCGGAATGAAAATTTGAGATCAGCATTACGCGGATGAGCGAGTAAGAATGGAATAAGAATGAAACAATTACCTGAACAATCGTTGCTCAATGCAGGTGATGTTACTCGGTGACAGCGGCGTTGGAAAAACCTGTCTTCTGACACGTTTCCGTGACGGTCGCTTCCTGTCGGGAAACTATATAACGACCGTCGGCATTGATTTTAGGGTGAGACTTTAGAGATATTCCATTTTACATTTACCTTGTACACGATTAACAAAGAATGCTGATGAACTTTTGATTAATGATTCTTTGTGCAACGAAGTGCATGTTGCTCACATTGGACGACGATATCTTCGTGATTTATTAAAACTTAGTCCTCGTAGGACTACAGAAATTCAAAGAAGTACCTTTCCTGCCTTTGCAGAACAAAGTTGTCACCGTCGACGACACGCCGATCAAGCTGCAGATATGGGACACAGCCGGCCAGGAAAGGTTCCGAAGCGTGACGCATGCTTATTACCGAGACGCACATGGTAAACTCTTTTCTTTTACATAACAATTCTGTTTTCAATAAAAATCGGAACGATATTCGCAGTACAAGTTAATAGATCGAAATTGAAATTAGTAACATTTAAAGGAATTAATTTGTTAAATAAATTAAATACAAATATTTTCAAGTTTAAAAAATGATTGCTAATATTGTGCAAGCATCACGAATTATGCTAAAAATATTTTATTGATTTTTAATATGTATGTAGATATACAAATATATATTGTTTATTAATACATGTAATATATACACATATATAGTATATATATTGTTCAATTGCTACAACAATAAGTAACTTAAAAATTGACATTTTTAAATTCATTACAAAAAAATATGAAAATATACAGAAAAAAAAGGAAAAAAAGATTGTAAAAGAATACTTTTATTTGTCTACACTTAGTTATTACCTTAAAATTATATATTAAAATTAATATTCCAAGATTTTAATAATTTAAAACATTCAATTCATTTTCAGGAAACCTTTGTCTTTTTCTGAATTGTGTCATTATTGTACTAAATGAGCGTGTATGTACATACATATATATACATATATCTCCAAATTAGTTTACCAGATTGAAATAAAATGGACGCGATGATATTCTTAATTAGAAACATGTTTATCACAGCTTTGCGTTATTGATAAATACGATATCGTTGACAAAGATTTTCCACGTGTTTTGCAATGTCTCGTAACAATTTAATTATCGCGTTGTAAATGTCACCGGTCTCGAAGCTGTGCATATGTTTTACTAGCTCCTCGTTTTACACAGCGGAAATTAATGAGAAACATCTCTCTTGGCGAGAGATATGACGCTTTGGAGCGTCGGATGTTTAATACGCGCTTGGTTTAATAGGGGAGCTTTTCTCTTACAATTACGAAATATGAAATTGTATCCGATTATTATTATTATTGCCCATTATGCAAGAAATTTCGGATTCTAAACTTTTATTAATTTGCAAATCCATTAATTTAAAATCGACTTCTCTATAATAAGAAAATGATTTAATCCTATATGTTTTTTTTTTCTAATTTTAAATAAACTTTTAACAATTTGAATTATTGTTATTTAATTTCACGTATCATTAATTAATGTCTGTTAATTTTTGGAATTAATTTTGGAATTAACTTTTGGATGTTTAAAAATTAAGATTGTATTCGAAGAGTGTAAAAATTAAAATATAATTTCGTGCTTTAGAATTTGAGTTTTTTAAACATATTCTTTCCTGTTTTTTCAAGGATCTATCTATACAAAATTGGTTTTGGGATTGGGAATTTGAGACGTCTTGTGCATATATATAACAATGAACTTTCCAACGTACGGCGTAGAACAAAAACATTGGTGCGTCTCCGGGGAAATCTTAATTGCTCGTCCCGACTTTGTTGTTCATACTCGAACCGAGACGACGAATCCGGTCCGTTTTCGGACTTGGGATAATCAATATGGAACGTTACCACTATCACTCACGGCGAACTTAACTTTATAATACATAAACCATTCGTAACTTGCTAACTCAAATCCTAGCCTGTTCTCGATTTTGTTATTCCGTCAGTTTTGGCCAAGTGCCAGATTCGATTTACTTATATATAATAGATAACGGAGAAGTAATACAGGGAGTCTGAAGAGGAAATCTCATTATTTATCCGTCTGAGTTCTGAAGTTGTTGCGACAATAACGCTGCGTCACATCTCAACTTCGAAAGCAATCATTCCAGTTGAGTGAATTCGACAATAATTTGCCACTCATTTAGAAGATTAAATCATTGAAATCACACGGAATCGAAACGTCCGAAGTTCGAAAGTCAATTGATTTTGTAATTCGTAAAACGTTTTAAACAACTAGTAATTGTGCTCTAGTTTAAATATAAAATAATGAAATAGTCAATATATCTAAAGATTTAAACGTAATGTTAACACAGTACGATAAAAATCGATTTTTTTTCCTCTCATGAAAAAATCAAAGAGATTCTGAAAGTAGATGTAAAAAAAGTACTCGTGTCTCGGCATTTTACCAGATCAAGTCGTTAACGTTTTTTATGCAGCCATTTATCATGTTTGCTTTATATTGGCTTTTTACAATTGTTTTAAATTATATAATAATTTTTACAAATAAATAATTAAAATTTTTGCATGTAAAATTATGCGATGATAAAATTTGAAAATATATGAAAAAAAAATAATTCTCAGTTGTTTTTTTTTTTATATTCGGACTCGTCGCATAATTTCACATACAAAAACGTCAATTTATTTTAAAAAATTATTAATATTATAATTATTATAATTTAAAATAATTGTAAAAAGCCAATATAAAGCAAATACGATAAATAGCTGCATAAAAAACGTTAATTAACGACTTGATCTGGTAAAACGCCGAGATACGAGTATTTTTTTTTTACAGACTACTTTCAGAATCTTTTTGATTTTTTCATGGGAGGGAATGTGTGTTGTACTGTGTAATAAGATTTGTTTCAGGATAATGTTCAAGTGAGAGAAAATCATGCATCTAATGCAGATTATAATTTTTTATACTTTTTTTGCATTGTGAATTCAATTATCGTTTAATATATTTTCATATATATAAGATGTAAATGAGCATTTACATACTTTTCACTCATAAAAAGTTTCTGACCGTCGCATGACGTAAAGTCGATTAGGTAGTCGATAAAAAAAAAAGGCAATTCACAAGACTGCGTTGTTCCAGCGCTTTTGCTGCTGTACGACGTGACGAATAAGACGAGTTATGACAACATCAGGGCTTGGCTAAGCGAAATCCGGGAACACGCGAACGAGGATGTCGTCATCATGCTGCTGGGTGAGTTGCGTTTATATTTATGGTTCCCGTGATGATACGATAGATCTGCCCACTTGGAATGGTCAATCGCCGGGAGGCTAAACGCCAGAAATAAGGACCGCAGTAATGGTTTAGCGCGCGGAGATAAGAACTCAGGAGAGCGATGAATGACCCAGATTTAATTTTATCGATCAGCTTGTCCCAAGCTGATATACTATATATACATCCATTTATCGAATCTAATTTAAATAAAAAATTTACACCTATATATACAACAATCCAGGTTTCTGGAAGGATCGAGTCCAACTAGCAGCGTTTCCGCTTAATGCAATTTGGACTGCTTCGGAAAGCAATTAAGATCAATCTTTACGAGTCCACGTTCGGCCAGAAAATGCATTTGTTATAAGTACAAAAAGAATATAAATATTATCGACCGCAGCTTTACGTGTAATTTTCAATCCCAAATCCAACTTTCCGTGTGTATACTTCGTGTGGATTGCTGGCTCACGTAAATTGACCTTAATTGCTCATAGACAGTCGAGATCGCAACGACTGAGAACGTTGTTAATTTTATCGTGGAAAAGTTGGATATTTTGTGGTAATTTATCTTCTCGTCGCTGTATTAAATCGCAGGTAACAAGTCCGATTGTGGAACGGAGCGTGCTGTTAAGCGGGAAGACGGCGAGCGATTAGCGCAGGAGTACAAAGTGCCGTTCATGGAAACGTCTGCCAAGACTGGCCTCAATGTCGAATTGGCATTTCTCGCCGTTGCTCGGTATGGTCTCGACAAAATCGACGAATCTACATATAGCGTGAACGAACAATGCTTGAATAAACAATGCTTGAACAAACAGTGCTTGAAACTGCACTGATTTTTAATCAATTTCACGTCAACGTTTTTTTTTTAACTTCAATTTTTCCATATATCTTCGAAATTGAAAATTTTTAGACTCAAAAACAAATAAAAGATGGTTAAAATAAAAATTATTATTCGAGCTTAGAAAGTGCTTCATGTATTTATGAAAGGAAAATTACAGCTGAATAAAATCGATGGATCTAAATGACACTGCTTGTTTTCAGGGAGCTGAAGGCTAGAAAAAGCGACAATCCTGATGGGATGAAATTCAACGTTCAGGACTACGTGCGTCAGCAGTCGCAACGAAGCTCCTGCTTCAACTCCAGCTGCCTGACAACTTGAACTGCTTTCTTCTTTTTTTTACGTTAATTAAGAGAACACGCGAACTGGAACCACGTTGGTCGCGAGGAGATACGGCGCGAAATTGCCATTGCGAGCCAGGCATTCATTTGATTTCCGCGTGAAAGAGAACATCGGTGTAACATTCGTTGCGAGACGGTATAAATTTTATACTCGATTCATAGAGTAACTTTGCGAATAAACCACAACGCAGGCGAAACGATTCAAGTTCATCGGGTGAATCGCAACCACAGTGTGCATCCAGTAGTCAAGATTTTCGGGAAACACGAGGCATTATTTCGTTCAACAAAAAGTCATGAATGTTAATGCTAACCGCATACATATATATATATATATATATA